CCCCCCCTAAAACTTGCACTGTCATGCACAGTGCAATTTGTTTTCATTTCAATTCAAAGAGCAACTAGTCCAAAAATTTAAAAACATGCAAAACAAAACAATTGAAAGAACCAGAGGCTCTTGGAGCGTGCACTGGTACAGGCAACCCAGTAATAAGAATTTTATTTTGTGACTAGCTTGCGTTGTTTTTCCTGCTAAATATTCTCAGCAGGAGCAGAAGGAGATATGCGAGGAGAAATGCTTGAGTTCTTGATGCATGGGAGAGGGATGGGAAAGTGCTACTATATTCGAATTTTTGACTTGCTATCTTTTTGCTTTGATTGAAAGACCTTGGAGCTTAAAATATTGCAGCCATATTAAAATTTTATCAGACTTATATATTATTAAAAAGTGATAACTTACAATAATTTATTCTGTCCTGAAATTTTATTTAAACTTGACAGAAATCTTAATTAGCCCTTGCATCTCTTTAGTCATGGTACAACTGACTATGTTAATCCTCATTTTATATCATTTCTTTACTTTTATTCCAAAGCTTATTAGATTCATACTTTTTGGGAGAGGAACAAACGACAAGTGTGATCATATTCTAAGATAGTTAGATATTATGAACTTGAGTGTTTTATGAGCTATACCACAAGGGTGGAGCCCGTGTGGCTTTCTATCTAATGTCAGGGACTCTAGCTATATCCCATAACACACTCAATGCAAGTTCATTATCTTACTTACTTAGTCTTATTATCTAGTACATGCATGCACAACTTGTAAAAGACAGAATCTATTTGAATTAATTTGAGATTTTACCCGCAGGCTGGTCTGCACAATATATAGGACACTGGGTAACCTTGAAGGAACATTGTAACAATTTCCAACTCTGTAAAATCCCTATGCCCATCCCACAATCAACCAATTAAGAAAAAATAGGAAGAATAAAATCCATATTATTAACTAAAAACAGTGAAAAGTTCAAAAATCATCCCAAAGAATTGTTTTTATCCATTTTGATTTTTGAGTCCCAGTCTTCCCATACCATACATTTTCGAATAATTTATCAGGAAAAAAGGAATTAAAAGGGAAAAAAGTCGGAAAAGAAAAGGTTTCCAAATTATGTTTTTTTTWAAGTAAAGTAATTGGGAAATAAAGGTTTAAAGTAAAGGGAATACAGGGTAAAGAAGAAAAAATAATGATGAAAGAAAAAAATACATATACTGAAAGCTGGGTTCCCACCAGGGTAGGCTTACGACATTGGATGTTCAACTTTAACCACAAGCTTTGTTGTCATTTTATATGATTTTTTGATTGGTTTCGATTGAAATTCCCAATATATGAAAAAACATCACTTTACAAAAACTGAATTACATCATTTCAATACCTAATATAATATCAGCAATCAAAAATTTCAATAGAAAAAAATCAAAAAATAATAATTGTATTTTTCTTTCGTTTTTTTCTTCACTCTTAAAAAAAGGGCACGAACCTGTCTTGAGAAAGGTATGTAGGCTATCAAATCAAATATTTGAAAACATTTCAATAATTCAAATAAAATTAAAATATTCCGATCCGATCCGATCCAATCCGATCCAGAACCAATCCGATCCAGCTTTTATACCTGCCTAGGGAGAGCCTTCATAACGAGCAGTTAATGTATGGAGCATCATTTTGCATGCAACCAATCAATCTTCTGTCTACATGACAATGAATGCTCCTTTAGCTGATGTATTTATAAAAATCAATGAATCCCAATAGTTTAGATAGAACAACAATAGAATACAATACTAACACATGTATGCTTTAATTTTTTAATTAGTTTTCAAATTTTAAATATAGAAAAAAGGCCATATCATTGTGGTGATAGAATTGTAAATAAAGAGAAGCTTGTCCTGCCTAAAGAGACAATAAAGAATGACAATAAAGAAGATGACAAGGGGTATGTTATCTTTAAAATCTCTAGGAAAATACTCTACTCCTGATGCAAGTCATATCTTTCAATACTTGATAATTATCTAAGTAAACCAACTAAAAGTTGGCTTTGGATAATGCTCAAGCATTGTTATAGTGGTTGAAAAATATAATGTGTGTACTAACTTCAACAGACATTGAACGCATGGGTTGCGTGAGCAACATATAAATTTAATTGCACATAATGATGCTATTTATATATTATATATATATATATATGCATAATTAAAAATATGGATATATGTATATATGATTTATAACATAGCCATGATATAATAAGGGGCACTCTGATTAGTTAATAATTAGCCTACGCAAACAGAAATCCAAAAACCGATGGTGCATGCTGACATTAATAGTAGAGTAGTAGGGCATGCTATACTATGTAATGCATGTTTCATTAGAAAAAATATTTGAATTTTTCTTGGTTGTGTAGTTCCAGAAATCATCCATACCCA